TGTGTTCATAAACTGGCTGAGCAGTGAGGAGTTGGCTCATACCTGTGTAATATATTTGCTTGAGGACAGAGGGAAGCTACTGCTGTGTTCCTGCTTCAGCTTGGAAGACCTGCAGCATATGAGAAGTGGGTATTTTGGCTCTTAGAGAAGCACAGAGTTATAAGCAAGAGGGACGTCTTTAAATGGCCCAGTAATGCTGTGGACTGTTGCATCTTGGCATTAAAAATGCCCGTGGTCACCTCAATTCCTGGCAGCCTCAACTGTGTATAGCTGATTCAAGGCAGAGAAGTTGTTTACGCACCTAGTAGGGACTCACTGTTGACAGTACTTTCAAAAAGATCTTTAGGTATTCAAATTCTCATACAGCTGATGCATTCAAATAAGCCTTTTCATTTCTAGATGAAGGAGAGGCTGAGCGATAGGTGAGAATGGCCTATCTTAGTGCGAGGCTTGGGGCTGGCTCAATATCCTTTCTCTGCTGTGAGTGGTTGTCTGTACTTGACAGTCAAATCTGCAACCTATAATAAAAGGACTGTCATCATAGTTGCTTGATTGCATTAGAAGTGCCTTCTCCTAAACATATGAGCAATATAAAACTGGCATGAACTTCCTTGGGTTGGATTAGATGACCTTTAAAGGTCCCTTCCAATCCAAATCATTCTATGATCAGCCATCAGGCCTGTGGAAGACAGCACCATCCCACAGCAATGTGGACTGTGTTTAGCCTCAAAGTTTCTGAGTAACTTGATTTGTTTTGATTTCTTCTTTGGGCTCTGTTATTAGCTTGTCTGCTGAAGGAAAGGACATATATGGAGAATGCAGATGAAGCATGACTTAACTTTATTTTTTATTAAGTACTCTCTAAATCTGTGTAGTAACTTTCACACACAGAAGCTTAGGGGTCGGAAGGGACCTCAGGAGATCATCTAGTCCAACCCCCCTGCTAAAGCAGGCTCACCTACTCTTAGAGAAGCACAGAGTTATAAGCAAGAGGGACGTCTTTAAATGGCCCAGTAATGCTGTGGACTGTTGCATCTTGGCATTAAAAATGCCCGTGGTCACCTCAATTCCTGGCAGCCTCAACTGTGTATAGCTGATTCAAGGCAGAGAAGTTGTTTACGCACCTAGTAGGGACTCACTGTTGACAGTACTTTCAAAAAGAACTTTAGGTATTCAAATTCTCATACAGCTGATGCATTCAAATAAGCCTTTTCATTTCTAGATGAAGGAGAGGCTGAGCGATAGGTGAGAATGGCCTATCTTAGTGCGAGGCTTGGGGCTGGCTCAATATCCTTTCTCTGCTGTGAGTGGTTGTCTGTACTTGACAGTCAAATCTGCAACCTATAATAAAAGGACTGTCATCATAGTTGCTTGATTGCATTAGAAGTGCCTTCTCCTAAACATATGAGCAATATAAAACTGGCATGAACTTCCTTGGGTTGGATTAGATGACCTTTAAAGGTCCCTTCCAACCCAAATCATTCTACGATAAGCCATCAGGCCTGTGGAAGACAGCACCATCCCACAGCAATGTGGACTGTGTTTAGCCTCAAAGTTTCTGAGTAACTTGATTTGTTTTGATTTCTTCTTTGGGCTCTGTTATTAGCTTGTCTGCTGAAGGAAAGGACATATATGGAGAATGCAGATGAAGCATGACTTAACTTTATTTTTTATTAAGTACTCTCTAAATCTGTGTAGTAACTTTCCTGGTCTGCAGGTTAGTCTCCAGGCCACGTATAAGCATATGCCTAATGTGTTATACACCTAACGAGAAAGAAAACAACCTCTCAAATTGCAGACAGCAACTCTTCATTCTGTTAAAGTGTGCTTTGTAAAAGCAGGGTGACCCTGGAGCCTGAAATCAAATTATTAAAAATTTGCTTCACAGTATTTAAAATATCTGCAGTTCATATGATGGAGCCATGCAGATCAATAAACTGCACAAACTTATTTTGTTGTTTCTTCCACGTGATGCTGTCTTCCTTTGTAACTCATTGTATTCATATAAGGATTTTTGTGTAAACTATGGAAAAAATGGCACCAACTTTCCAGTGCACTTTTGGAATGTATGTGTAAAGTAGTGCGATATAAACAGCCTGAGAAGGCATCTTCTGAGCCCCAAAGCAGCCGTAGATTAATTTCGGCACAGATTTCTGATGCTGCCCTGCCAGCTTCTCTTGGTTTTAATCTTGGAAATCTGGCCTTTGGAGGCAAAAAGTCAAGATCTGCAGTTACTGGAGACTTTTCCAGGGTTGTCTCTGCTTGAGAGTTTATCATAGCAAAGCCCCCACGAACAAAAAAAATCTGAGTTTTTGCATGTTCACACAGGTAAGTAGATTGTGTGTGTATGTCATTTATTCTTTTTTTTTTTTTCCCTCCCCAGACATTTGCCAGAAAAAGTCAAAGATGATATTCAACTAAAGAATATGAGCGGGCAGTGGTTTTATGAAGCAAAGTCAAAGAGGCACAGAGATAAGATACATGGAGCAGATATTATTAGAGCTTCCATGCGACGGAAGCCTGCCACTCTTGGTAAGCATTATGTTTATATTTTATTTTGGAAAGGCTGGCTCTTAGCTAACCTCAAACACTGCTGTCTGTGAAATACAAGAATAATATTAGTATCTCTACAAGGAGAAATGATGCAAAAGAGAGATTTCCCATGTAGTTTACAATGTAAGCTGCCTTCTCTCCCAATGCTTTGTATTAAAGACAGAATTCTGTGTGATGACTACTAACAGGAGGGGCTGGCTTGTGTTTATGTGTGGGACTAAAAGCCCTCTGCACTCCTGGACTGTGTCCTCATTTCCATGTTGGAGGCCCTGTGAGCTACCCTGGAACATGCAAAGAATCAGAGATTGAGGAAGTTGCTCTTTAGTATGCATTTCCAAGCTTTTGGGTACTCAGTTTGAGGCCTCTGAGGTTTAATTTTTTTTTTATTTTATTTTTAAGGAGACCAAAGATATTTCAAGTTGATTTGAAATAGTAAACACCATGAGCTAGAGTTAGTGGTTATAACTACTGAAATCTATGTGCTAGCAGCTCTGGCAGCTAGAACTGGCATCCTGTGTCCATGTTCCCTTTCAATGTACCCACCATTCCCCACATCATGGTGGGTGCCCTCAAATGATCTATCAGAAAGGTTTGCTAAAGCCAACTGTGTTCATGTGCCAGGTAACAGTTGCAGACATTAATTTAGTAGTACAGATAGGTAGCAGTATATTGTCTGTAACTTGAGTAATGTCGACAAGCTTGGTGCTCGCTTGATAATAACTATTATATTCTGAAACTCTTATTTAAAAAAATCAGAATGTGGGAAGATAATGCATTGTGTTTAACATCAGAAGTAAATACAGTGTTTTGTTTGGAGAGAAACAAACTAAAAGAGTAGAACATAAGAGCTGCTCTACTGGACCAGACCAAAAGCTCATCTCCCCAGCACCCTGCCTCTGAGAGTGCCTGGAAGCATATGTAGGCTCAAAGACCAGGACCAGCCTGCAGCAAATTGTACCTCAGACTTTTTTTGAAATAGAGGCAGTGTTTCCGGATTATTTTTTTCCCAATTAATTTGTTCAAGAAGTTCTTTAAAGCCATGCCTCTTTAACATTCACCATGTCCTGTCATGACCTATTTTAAAATGAAGGTTTTTCACATAAGAAGTGACCATTCCCTTTTCTGCTTTTGAATTGATCACCATTAACATTGTCTCTGGGAGAGAATGTGAACAGTCGATCTATATTCACAAAAACATACATAATACAGTATAAAGGATTTTATAGACTTCTGTTATAAATATCTCAGCATCTGACTTTCTAATCTGAACAGTCCTGGTCTATTTTGTCATTCTCTGTACAGAAATCTATTTTGTTTCTCAGAAAAATTGACCCCCATCCCCTCTTAATCTCCTCTAGTTCTGCCAAATCCTTTTGAATTAGAAGGGCAAGGCTCTTACAATTGTCATCAGATTGTACTGTAATTTGCAGCCTTTATTTTTTTTAAGTTCTATTAAGGGATTTTGCTGTGTGCTAGTGAAGGAAATAAAGTACTTCTGTCAACACTGTGGACGGACCACAGCTTGCTACTTTCTATAGGTTTTGTAACTACAATTTAGCCTTGTTTTACTCTGTCTAATCCTGCAATGTTATACCTTCTCAATTCCTATATTCCCAGAGATGAGTTTGGGTAATGGCAGTTTAGTCAGTTTGAGGTTACTGTGTGATGGTTTTGGGGTTTTAAGTTAACCAGAAAAGGCCTGAAACGGAAAAAATCACAAGTGGTTAGTGTGGAATGTTTGTGGCTTTGGCTGGTTTTGGACTTGAAAGTTATGAAAATTAGCTGTAAAATTCTAGCTGAATTTTACAGTAACTTATAGCTTAAAGGAAAGTACTTAAAGCCATATTATCTTAAAGGAAGTTTAATTATTCCCAATCTTGTTACTTGAACAAAGGGGCATACTGATACATTCAGAACTGTGTGCAATTGTTTCGTTTCAATGACTCATTAGATGTCAAGATATTTTTGCTTGCAGTTACGCATAGCAAAAATGAGAATAAAAATTTTGCTTATTTTTGCACACTAAGAAGTTCTTAATTTCTAAACTGTTGGAGAACTGTAAAAAACAGTAGAGGAAATAATGTAAACTAATGTTTTGACTCTGAAAGGGGTTATCAGAATAGGATTCTGTCCCACCCCAGAAAGAAAACCAAATGTATTTGCATTTGCTGAATAAGGTGGGGCTTTTTATTTGGTTGGGTTTTTTATACTTACCTTCTTAACTTCTTATGGTAATTCTATCCATAAAGGATTAGCTACCTGCTTAAATGAGAGTTATGACCAACTTCCAGTTTACTGCTATAGGAAGGGAATAATTGACTTGATTAACAGAACTTCGACTATTTTCAGTTTCCTATGGTTTAACTGTTTTTGTTTCCTCAGAACACCAAGGTTGAATTTTTGATGTTTCTCTAGCTACAAGAGCCACAGGATCAGTCTTTACCAGGGTTGTTGTAGAAAACTTCTCCATTTAGGATCACTGTAAGGCTTAAAGCAGTTATACCTGGATTAGTAGAGTGAAGTATTCAGAGCAGTATGTGACATTTCTAGTAGCATTAAAAAAATATTCTTTAGAAGGCACCAGATCTGCTTCTATACACCATTCAAGTATCGTGGCCTTTTGAAATAGCTGTAGGACTAAATGCAAATACAAGTATTCCCTTCTTAAGAAATCCCGTATGAACATATGGGAGACAACAATATTCTTGTTTCATGTTTTAGCTGAAGTGAGTCAGAACAAATCAAACAAAGCAAAGAACAGCTGGGTGAGCAATGTTAATAAAGAAGTCTTTGTGCCACCAGAACTACATGGCATTGTGGAACATCAGGAAGAAGAAGAACCACTGAAATCTAGTTTGAGGTAAGCTGTCTGTTTAATTGCGCTTAGTACATATATATTGGGACTGGTGAAACTTGTGAGCTGTAAGTTCCATCCAAAATATTGCACTTGCCTCTTATTTCAAATGTCACCAAATGTTTCCTCAGAGTTGCCCAAGGAATCCATGCTTCTGAAAGTTGACAAATCATAGTCATGCATTGTTGTTTGTTCTTCATTTGAATGCAGAACAATCTTTGGTTTACCTCTTCAAGGAAAAAGTTATCAGTGGTGTATAGAATGGTCCCATACACGTTGTCACGTCACAATTTAGTTTGGCTCCCAGAAGTGAGACCAGGATTCTCTGGTTAGAATGGCTGGCCATGGTCAGACCTCTGCAGTTAGTAATAGGGGGACAATAACCTCTGCGCCTCTTCATTCAGTCACTTAATGAGACCAGACTATCAATTCAGCCTGAATTTTAAACTTGGATCATACAACAAATAAAGAGACTGTGAAATTGCTCTTTAGAATTTTCCAGACTTTTGGGTGCACAGTTTGAGACCTCTGAGACTTTTTAAGGAGACCAAACATATTTCAGGTAGAAAGAACCAGAATCTTTGGATACTTGCAGAAAATAAGTCAGATTCTATCAAGAAAAATGAATGTCTTTCTGGAAGGGAGAGGGTTCCATTGAGAGCAAGGCAAGACAGGCAGCTTAGATATGCCTGAATGGTTATAGTTGTTTCAGGAAAGCTGGATAATAAGTAGTTTCTGAACCACAGAGGATTTTGTATTAAATCACTCTATCTCAAGTCTGTAAACACCCCAAACAGCTCCATTTTGCTTTGAAATATCCTGAGTTGATTTCTGAGAGAGAGAGAGAGATGTGTCTTCTCTTTAAAATACCTACGTATAGTAATTTATTGGCTGTGTGAAAAGCTTTCAAAAAGCTTGTGTTTGAAAAGGGAGGTGCTGCTCTCTTAGCTAGGGTGACAGCAGGTGGAAATGAAATGTCTTTAACTGGCCAGATTCCTCAACACCATTAAGGAAACAAGAACCAGGGTGTAAAACAGATAGCTATTGTTTGTGTTTTCAGCGAACAGGGTGAGGTAAGAGCCAGAATTACCTCTTAGGATGACTGTTTTACTTCTGGTTGTGCCATTGATCAGCTCTGTAACCTTTCACTTTCTTGTCTGTCTTCCAAGTCCTTCTCTGTACATCACCTGTTTTTTCTTTGCAGCAAGGCTTGTCTCCTACTATGCATTTGTACAGTATCTAGTAGCAGTTGAATCTTTCACTTTCGTGGTCTGCAAACTGGGCATGCACGTTCACGATGAATGGCACCAAAGGTTGGTGTAAGTCTTAACAACTCTGGCTTGCATTACTGGTCTTTCTTATCCTTTGCATATCGTTATCAGTGAACTCAAAGGGGTATTTGTCTTACCCATGTCTGAAATCGTGCTGAAAAAGGTCGAATAAACTGCTCTATTACAGACTTCCCAAAAAATCAAGTTGTACAGTAAGGATGATAAAGGTTGCTTATCACAAGAAGCAGCTTATTAGCCAACTTGGAGGGGGGGGAGTTAATGCTGACAGTGTTAGTTGTTATTGGTTGTAGTTTTTTAACAGGTGGCTTTTACCTTCAGGAGATTATTGTGGAGTTATTTCTTTATGGACAGCACAAGACATGCTGCTGTTTAATATGTCTTTTAGAATATTTTGCATGTCATCTTGCACATCAGGAAAAGCTGATGATACTTTAAAAGGAGGACAGCCTTGTAATGTTATTCTTACCATTACAACTCCCCAAATTGTGTGTGACTGATAAAGAGTAATACATTTCATAAACTGCCAGGGCAGCCTCTTCAAAAATATATAACATAAAGAGGTTTAAGAACATATAGACAATTGCTTAGAATATGAGCAACTTGATAGTGGTCTTTAACTTGAGGTGATTTGATGGCTTATTTCAGGTCACAGCCATGTGAGCTTGATAATTATTGCCCAGGACCCTCTCCTGCCCTTTGCTCCAAGCTGTGCCAGAAATTAATCAGCCTGTGTGCCTTGTTCATGTATGCTCATACTCTCACAGGTAGCTCAAGATCTTCCCTCTAAAGCAAGCTCGCACAGTCCAGGATTTGTGAGACAGTTGGAAGTGGACCTTACGAAGTGATCTATAATATGTGGGCAGGACGCTTTATTTGCATAAATACTTGATTAGATCATAGAATCACTTTGGTTGGAAAAGACCTTTGAGATCATCGAGTCCAACCTTTAACCTAACCCTGACATCCCACCACTAAACCATGTCCCTGAGCA